CAAGGCATCAAGAGCTCCAAAAGATAGACATCAAGAGATCAAGAGATCTGTGGAAGTGAATCAAGAGATCAACATGCTTTTTAGATAAGTATACCTCCGTATATGGCTGTTTTTGCCTAATTAATATTCATAGTTTTAGTAAATTCTTGTACACCTCCGTATATTCTTGATCAAGATGCGGTCACAGGTGAAACAGCAGTTTGATACAAGTGACACCCCCTTGTACAACTGATAGAAGCCATTTTAAGACAGTAAAACCATAGATATTAGAGACTATGTAACTGGGATTGGAAACTAGGAGTCCCCGGTGGACAACGTCTGTGATTGAATTGGGCGTTAAATAGAATAAATTTGACCATGTGGCTTGCTTTTCATGCGGAATTAATGAATTTTTGGTTTTAAAGCAGTACTGTAGTCAAATACAATGCATGAATTAAAATGCTAACCCCCCAATTCCATGCACACAATATCAACCTATCATCACCCAAAAGGAGAAACCTCTGCTTCTTTTGTAAAAGCTATAACAGGTACGACAGTGGACTGTTCGCAGAAACAGTATTTTAGATATTACTCCTCTGACATAGCAAATCAGTAAATGAAACTATGACAGTTCCATGCACAATGATTGTGACAACATTTCCACCTGTGAATTTTTACCCGTGTAATGGAGCAACAGGTACAAAAAGTTTTGAAAATTTGCAAGTAACAGAAATTTGAACAATATCACAGTATATTCACAAAATAACAATGGTATCATTATTTTTTTCATTATAGTCATGTTACACAAACACTAAAGTATTGAAATATTATTAAAATAACAAAAAATCAACATTGGTTTAAACACAGTCTTCCTTTGAATGTTGTCGATGAGTAGCCATTTTTTGACCACACCCACCAAAATCCAATCACGGACCCTGTGTCAGCCGGTTTGTACTGGTTTGAATGGATCACGTGAGCTAGTTTCCGTTCCTGGTTACGTAGTCTATAATATCTATGGTAAAACACACGTGCTTACTTAATTAAGGCAAGCCCACGCCTTCTCGACCACGCCCCTTTTAATTTTGGCAATGAAAACTTTTGCGTTTGAGGCCTAAACCACAAAATTCGTGAAAGTTTTTAGCCTCAAAAGTTTTGAGTTTAATTGATCCATTTGCTAACACAATAACTTGTCAGTTCACAAATCTTGTATTTCTAAGGTTTCATGGAATTAATTTTCGTGAATTGCTTGCAGGCTGCACCACGTGGCAATGGAGAGCAGAATTTTGCGGTGAAAAATTTTCGCAAATGGTCACAAACTGCGAAAATATTTTACCACGAAAATAAACTGGTATACAGTACTGTTGAAGTCTCTAATATTTTTTACATGTACATGAGTGTTCATATGTAAATTATAAACTGACCTAGTTCAGTTAACACAGCAATGTTAGGATCAGTGACTGGTGTGCTCTCATCAACAAATCCTCCAGCAGTTATCATCCAGACACAATGAGGACTCATAATGAACACTGAGAGAGAATGAGAACCTCTCTTACTAACAGAGTGAGGTACATCTAACTGTTAATAGAAATAAATTAATAATTTACATGTATCTCACTGTACATACCTTTATCCAGGAATGTTGAGTGAGGTTAAAGATCCAACAATCATCTAATGTATCTTCATCATTCTTATCCCTCCCACCACTTATCACTAGCATAGGACACTCTGATCCAGTTATAATAATAGCACCTGCATGATTGCATCTAGCCACAGGCCATTGGTCTATTGCTTCAGGTTTCCTTATACACTGCCAGAACTAATAAATAAAATAACCACACCCATTAACAATGACGTGTGTGTGTGTGTTTTTGGAAGATATACAAATATCTGAGCCCAGCTAACCATAGCCATAGCCTAGCGCTGGGGTGCACCTCAATTGGAATGATTGGCCAATGCCCATGATCCCCTCCCATTGACCCTTGTTATAAGGTCGCCATCAGATGGTCTTTTGCTCCAGTTTTGTTTATGTGGTTTGGTTAAATTTGATATTAGTTAGTTTTTGTTACCATTATTGTTGCTTGTTCATGCGTGTTAGTCATTATAGTAAGAGGTGTGGTTTTTCTCACGTGACCCTCTAAAGTGACCGGCAGTCTGGCCTTGAGAACCAGATGTGGCAGGTTAAAACATTTTTTCGGGCGCCCAACTCTCCCTGCTCTGCCAAGTCCACTTCAGTCAGGTCAGGCAAGTTTTAAGTAATCTTTATAGTCCTAAACTAGAGTTGCTTTAATAGGGTGATACCAAGTTTTTGTAGTACATGTAATACAAAAACTTGGTATCACAAAACCACAGAGCCTACACCAGTTTTACACATGCATGTACATGCATGTGTAAAACTGGTGTAGGCTATGTGGTTTTGTGGATATAGCCTTTGTTTGTAGATGGCAACTTATCACCTACATGTACATCTAGTTCCTCTGGAAGTGTAGTATGGGCCTGGGTAGCTAGTACTGGAGACCAATTTGG